AGAAAGAAGTAACTGGGGGCCAGATCAGGTGAGTAGGGAGGGTGTTCAATACAGTTATTTGTACTGGCTAAAAACTCCCTCACAGACAGTGCTATGTGAGCTGGTGCACTGTCATGATGCAAGAGCCATGAATTGTTGGTGAAAAGTTCAGGTAGTCTAACTTTTCCACGCAGCCTTTTCAACACTTCCAAATAGTAAACTTGGTTGACTGTTTGTCCAGTGGGTACAAATTCATAATGAATAATCCCTCTGACATCAAAAAAGGTTAACAACATTGTTGCAACAAGTTCAGAAACTTAATTGTCAAACCTCGCATGCTGCCTACAAGAGACTCACTTCAGATTGAAAGACACATAAAGACTGAAAGTAAAGAGATAGAAAAAGGTACTTACTGAAAAGGAAAACAAACAAAAAAGGCTGACGCAGCAATACTTATACCAGATGAAACAGACTTTAAAACAACAGCTATGACAAGAGACAAAGGACCCAGTAATCCCACTTCTGGTTATCTAAACACTACATCAAAGGGACATGTAGATCCATATGTTCATTGCAGCATTATTTATAATACCCATGATATTGAGAAAACCTGGGTGTCCCGCAGTTGATGAATGAATAGAGTTGGTACATATATACAATGGAATATTACTCAGCCATAAAAAAAATAAAATAAAATCTTAACATCTGTAACAACATGGATGGACCTAGAGGGTGTTGTGCTGAGTGGAGTAAGTCAGAGAAAGACAAATGCCATATGATTTCACTTATATGTGGACTTTAAAGAACAAAATAAACAAAATAGAAACAAAAGCACAGAACGTAGTACTGATTGTTGGGGTGGGGGGGAATAGGTGAAAAGGGGGAGGGGATTAAGAAGTACAATTGGGGCCGGCCGAGTGACTCAGTTGGTTAAGCGTTAGCTTGAGAGAATGAGCTCTGAGCAACAGGGCCACCGGTTCAATTCCCACATGGGCCAGTGAAGCTGCACCCAAGCTGAGCTGCCAACAGGTGCTCCTAAGAACAAGACTGCCTGTTTGATGGTGGGCTACACCCGCCCACAACTAAGACTGAACTCGGTACCTTAAGCTGAGCTGCTGCCTGGATGGCTCAGTGGATAGGGCATGCGCTCTTAACAACAAGGCTGCTGGTTTGACTCCAGCTTGGGATGGTGGCTATGCCCACCTGCAACTAAGATTGTAACACAGCACCTTGAGCTTAGAGGCTACAAGCTGCCGATGGGCAGCCAGATGGCGACTGGCGCCCTCCATAACTAATATTGAAGAACAACAACTTGGCTGGTTCCCCTCCCCCAATTTAAAAAAAAAAGAAAAAAAAAAAAGAAGTACAAGTTGGAAGTTGCAAAATGGTCAGGGGCTTTTTCCACCACCTTGGAGCCTGTAGAGGCCTACTGGGAGCAGGGCTTCTAAAAGGACAAATATGTCTGGGAGGCTGTGGTACAAGGCCATTTTTGCTGGCTATAAGCAGAGTCTCCATAACCAGAGGAAGCACACAGCTTGTCTTAAAATTGGTGTTCATGCTCGAAATGAAACTGAATTCTTTCTGGGCACGAGATGTACTTATGTGTACAAGGCAAAAAAACAACAGTGACTCCTGGGGGGCAAACTGAAAAAAACCACAGCAATCTGGGAAAAGACAACTCATACTCATGGAAACAGTGGCATGGTCCATGCCAAATCCCATAGCAACCTTCCTGCTAAGGCCATTGGACACAGAATCCGTGTAATGCTGTCCCTACCCCCTCAAGGATTTAAACTTATTTAAAAGTAAATAAAGTGGATTTATTCTCTTGTAAAAAAAGTTTTTTAAAATAGTTATGAGGATGTAAAGTATAGCATAAGGAATATAGACAATAATATTGTAATAGTTATGTATGGTGTCAGATGGGTATTAGATTTATTGGGGTGATCACTTTGTAAGTTATATAAATGTCTAGTCACTATATTGTACACCTGAAACTAATATACTACTACATGTCAACTGAAAGATAAAAAATTCTTTAAGGGCCGGCTGAGTGGCTCAGTTGGTTAAGAGCTCGCTCAAAGGTTTGAGCTCTGAGCAACAGCGGTTCGAGTCCGGCCTGAGCTGAGCTGCCGCTGAGCTGCCAACAGGTGGCAGGATGGCTCAGCTAAATAAACAAATAAATAAATAAATAAAATTAAATTTAAAAAAAATTCTTTAAAAAATAAAATAATAAAGTACAATATGGGGATACAGTTAGTAATATTATAGTAACTATGTATAGTGTCAAGTGGACACTAGACCAATTGGGGGGATCACTTTTTAAATTATATAAATGTTGGTCTGGCCGAGTGGCGCGTTGGTTAAGAGTTGGCTTGGGATGCCAGCTCTGAGCAGCAGCAACCCCGTTCAGATCCCACATGAGGGCCACTGATGATGCGCCCTCTACAGCTAAGATGGTGAACAACAGCTCGAGCTGGGCTGCCGTTGAGTCGCCAGTGATGGCATAGGCTGCAGTGGGGCTGGCCGGCAGCAGGCGTGCACTTTCGTGAGCTGCTGTCCAATGGCTGGCAAGCAACTGCCTCATTTGGGAAGAGCGCAATGATAATACCAACATGGGCCAGTGAAGTGACGTCCTCCACAACTAGACTGAAGAACAATTCCCCAATGCTGTTCCCGTTCCCCAGTTCCCCAATAAAATCTTTAAAAAGGAAAAATTATGTAAATGTCTAACCACTATGCTGTATAACTGAAACTAATATAAAATAATACTGAATGTCAACTGTAATTGAAAAATTAAAAAAAGAAAAGTTTCTCAAAACAAGTCACAATCTTTGGATTCATTACTTTTTTTAATTAAATATATTGGGGTATAAGTTTCAAGTGTACAATATTCATTATTTTTACTGACTACAGACACTGTATTTTTTATTCTGTAGTTGTTACTGGAGTGTAAACCTCAAGTTAATCTCAAATCCCAATCATCTACCCAAACAATGGGGCTCAGTTTGAAGGTTATCAAAACAGAACACAGGTTGGTGTTAAGGGAGAATATAGCTACCATGTCTTCCAGTGCTTTGGCGAAACCTCAGATG